CTCTGGGCCTCCCGCCGCCCATATGATGGCCTAGCTGTCTTCGTGCAACGGTACGTTGACACGGACTACGACCAGCAGGGCGTTCATGTCAGGCTGGCGATACTGCAACCAGACTTGCTGACGGCCATCTCAATGGCGTCGGTTAGCAGAACCTGGTGCGCAGCAGTGCTCCCCCTGGTTCAGCACAAGCTCTTTGTAAGTCCTTACCGCACGGCCAGGGCAGCAATGACTCTTGACCTACGCGTCATGGTCCAGTCCTATGACACACCCCAGTGGCACCTCGCGTCTGAAGAGCTCACCCTCCACATTCAGCACAGCAAGCACGTCGTGGTGCAGAAGTTCCTGAACCCCCTCAACCAAGACGGGCAAGCAGCAACAATCAGCAAAGGCGAAGAGGATCACAGTGTTCTATATGACCACTACTACAGTCTCCTTTGAGCACTTGTGAGCCACAGGGATGTCACCGACTCATGCTAGGAATATGGCACAGCCTCCGACAAGGTGTGGCACAGCCACCCAACTAGTCACAGTCCGAGATGTGTCGTCCACCTGCCATGAGAAATTGATTTTGCAGCATGCCTGAACCCAGCTACTGCTGCATCATCGATTGCTCTATCCTGCAATCCGAGGCCCCAGCTACCACATGGCACCAGCAGTCCTTGCTCGCGTGCCCTCTGCTGGTGTTCTATGACTCCAGTCGTCCTGCGTTGCCCTGAGCTTCATGCTTGGTCATAAGACTCTGTAATCTGTGCATGCATACCGCAGCTGTCAGTTCGAACTGTCGATACCGTAGGCAGCAGCAGAAGTACAGCAGCTTGCTCTACAGACATGCCTTGCAGAAGCTAAGACTTCAGAACAAACTGCGACTCCGCGAAGAGCACAGCTCACCTCTTGGCCGCGTGTCACAGACTCTGGCCCATCAGCTAAAGCTGAGACCATGGACACCCCTCCAAGTTTGGGACCCTTTCTGGTGCTCAGCGATAGCACCTTGCAGCACATGCTGCGGGGACATACGTACGGAGTGTTCCCACTGCTGACGGGACAGGTCTTAAGCTGTCCAGGCGCCGCCCTCAACATTTCTGCTAGCAGCGTCCCCTCCATCATGGAGCTCCTCCACTGGCAATTTGGCCTCTTTGGGCCGCACAAATTCAAGGCGGCGGTTCAGAGTCAGCCGGTGGCCTCCATTTTGGAGAGCCACCTTGACGGACAAATTAATGTTCGCTTCATTCCGCTGTCAAGAAGCTTGCGCCCGGAGAAGCAAGTCAATTATGACTACCTGATAGACGGCAGGGTCCAATATGGTTTTGCGGACAAAAACCTGCCAAATCAGGAAATCATGGATTTGGCACAGATGCCTGGTGTAGGAGGGGTAGAATGGCTCTACAACTCCAAGAATCTCCACTTCCGCCCCGATGTTGCGGACATCGTCATCCCGGCACTTGTCACAAGAGCCATTGAGGAAATGCGCAACACCCCAGGACTGCCTGTCCTCGTGGTTGCTGGCTGGAATGCTCGCCAGCAGGACATGCATGTCGAAATGCTTGCTGCCCAGGCTCTTTCACAATGCCGAACTGTCCGAGATCTTTCGGAGGTTGCCATGCAGTACGGACATGGCCCCTGGGGTATGCGCTTCATGCATCTCCCAGAATGGGAGGCCGCCCCCGTCCCGGCCCTCCTCTTCCAGACCTATGTCCACGACGACAAGCCGGAGCCAGCCCAAGTTGCGGCCAAAATGTTTGCAGGCTTCACCCGCAAATTCTGTGACGATGGTATCCTTCGGGCTACCCTGCGGCAACTTGCCGGAAAGTACGGCTCCAATCTGCTGGACCGCCTCAGTCAACCTGCTCATAGAGCTGACGTGTTCCGCTACGTCTACCACTACCAGCACGGCGGCCTCTATGTCGATATCAAATGTGGCTTTGTGGTACCCTGGGAACAGGTACTGAAGCTCCTGGCAGCAGATTGGAGCACAGCTCACTCAACGAAGGCAGGTGAAGTGGGTCACAGACCCTCCCCACCTGGCCAACTCCCAAAGGAGTTCATGGTCATGGCCATTGGAGTCAAAGGAGATCACATCTTTCAAGGCATCATCTATGGCAAGCCCAGGCACCCTTTGATGAGGGAGGCCATACAGCACGCCTTCAGCCGTCAGGTTATGACAGCGAAGGCGAACCTGGAATACATGATCTTCTGCAAATTTCTCTGGCAGATCTTGAGTCGAGACCTTGGTCATTCCCCTCAAGCGGGCTGGAATGTTTCCGCCAAGTTTGGCCCCATCTACCTGTTCTCGGATCGTTGGGACAAGCGCGTGAAGAACAAAAAGTACGACAACGACGGCCACTACTTTGTGACAGCCAACAACACGACAGTCGCCTACACCAGGTGCTGGAAGTGGATGAAGGGCTTTCAGGGAGACCCCACTACCAAAGAACGAACCGATCGCATGCTGCAGAGCCAGCTACCCGACATCTCCCTGGAAATCCAGTCTGATAGACCTGAAGAGCACAGCTCACCTCAGCCACTTAGGTCACAGACCACGGCAACCGCCACATCAGCTCCTCCTCCTCCTACTCAGGAGGATATTGAAACCTATGTGGCAGACAGCATCCAGCACAACTCCTTTGCGGCGCTCATGGCCACAGTCCGTGAGACCCATCACTATAACCGAAGGTCACTATAGCCACAGGCGCGGGAGGAGCCTATCGTGAGCTGGATGCCCCCACAAAGGTGCACGGCCTTATCCATGCCTGCTTCAACAAGATGTGGGACGAGAAGGCCTTTCAGCAGCACTTCCCCTCGTGGGTCGAGTTCAACATGATCGCCACCACCATCGTGGCAGTCTACAATGAGACGGCCAAATCAGCCGGACTCCCAGCTCGTGTCTTCAGGGTCAAACCCGACAAAAATGCCTACTCCATCATGAAGATGCGGATTCAGCATGACAAGGGGCACGAGGAAGACAAGCGCATGGCCAAACTGGCTGCTGCTGCCCCTAACAAGCGCCCACAGATGCAAGAGGCTGACACAGAGGGCAAGCGACAGCGCGATGGCCCCTCCTCTTCATCCTCGACCCAGTGGGCCAGGCAGGCACGCTCCTCTCAAGAAGACGACTGGGATTGGTGGCAGCAGTGGTCCTGGCACAGTTACACTCAGCAGTGGCCGAAAGGTCATGACCAGTGAGGGTAGAGATATGTCACAGACTCTTTGATCCCTTATGTCACAGACTCTGGGAATTCGGCACTCTTCTGACGCTTAGCAAATCTCTTCGGAAGCCTGTGCACTGCGAGCTAACCTTGCTTAAAACAGCACTTCGCTGCACCAGAGGGCTGCCCACGTCCAAGCTGCCCACAGCCTCACTCCATCGGAGTTGCTTTCAGGTACATCCGGTCATGGGCATATGACCCTTACGGCCTTCTGTCTTCAACATGAGTAATCCGTGTGGGACGCCACAAGACGGATACTCCAGGTGTCGGCTTCGTCTGAGGTACGGCCTACTTGTTGTGACAGGTGCACAGATGGACGCGTCTGTTCACTCCAAGGTGTCGGAGGAGGAAGCTTTTGTAGCTGTAGTCTTTCAAGTTTGAGCTGATTAGAGAGGTATGAACGATGCATGCTAGAAGCAGTTTCACGAGTGCACGAGACCAAAGGCGCCCGCAAAGCGCAGAGCACGCTCGCGCAGCGTTCAATTGAAAAAATAGTAGTAGTAGTAGTGATGGTAGTAGTAGTAGTAGTTGTAGTAGTCATCATAGTCCCGGCCAGGGGCGTCTTCAAGTTGTTTGTTCCATCTTCCCCAGATCAAAAGCGAAGAAAATGAGGTGGAAGTTCTGCAAACGGGGGAGAGCTGCAATTCGGAGCTTTGCAAGTACAGACACCATACTGGAAGATTGCAGTTGCAGTCACAAGAACCGTTCGCTCAAAACTTCGTCATCTTTGTCAGTCATTGACAAGGTGCTTGTGCCTGGCAGTGGAAGATTGGAAGGCTTGGACGGGTCCTGACTTTCTGTGAGTTGGGCAAAGAGCTCGTTGCTTGTCTGTTTGTTGCAGCCAAATCACATCAGAGCTAGCCCACTTCAGCTGCAGCAAAGTCAAGTGTGTTCACATTTACTGCGCATTGCCGTAAACAACAAAAAGCAAAGGCCCAGGAAGCAGATGTACATTTCATGCTGCAAAGAGACGCTCCTGGCAAGCATTTCATGTTTTGCTTCGTCCATGAAAAAATGGTTTGTGCCGAGCAAACCTGTGCGTTTGCAATTTTGGGCACCGCAACATGACTGAAATTGGGGTCAAGTGTCATTGTGTTTGTTTTTTTTGTATCAGCTCTGGCATGCACAGTCAGCGACGCCTGTCCAACTGGTTAGGCACGCTTGCAAGGTCAAGCCGTCTGTATCGCGATTGTTGAAAGAGATCTTTCAGCTAATGCCAGACCGTGTCCACACAATCGTCGCGCACGAATGTTCCTCGTCTTCCTTATAGAGTTGGATTGCACTCATTGTTCATTGCTGAGCTCCCGCCCTTGCTCAGCACGACACTGCCCGGAGCCCTGCCAGAGCAGGGTGCAAAAAGAAAGGCTCATTCGCTGGTCCAGTTGGCTTTGCCGACATGTACAGAGGTACATGTTAACTTCCGAGGGTCACAGCACAGATTTACTGCAAGTTGGACGAAAAGAATCGGGATCCAAAATCATAGCCCCTAATTCGATGGGGAGCCACAATTGCGTCCCCACTTTCACCGGCTACACATCAAAGGTTCAGGCAGCAACTGCCATATTCTGCTTGCAAAGGAGTTCTAAATGCATAATTATTGAGTGCTCACTGACGTAAGAGAAATGAAGGCGACATCAGAAATAGCTGCTGCCATGTGATGTGCAACATATCCTTTGTTCGGTATAATAGCACAGTTCCATCATGTAAGGCAACCGGAAGCGGTTCCATTCCATTCCGTCGTTGTGATTAACCAGTTGCCTTCCGACCAACAGGGTGTCCACAACAATCGGCCCAGCCATGGTGTGCTCTGCCAAGTCAGGCACAAAAGAAAGGCTGCCAATTCTTCACGTTGCCTTTTTATTGGCACTGGAAGGTGCATATTTCTATACTGTGTGCACTATCTTCAGCTTTGCAGGTGTCCTCAGTGTAGATCTTGGATGGGCTCCAGACAACAACGAGGCCGGCTTTGTGGCAGGCTGGCTACAGTCATCCAATGTTTGCGGCCGCATCTTCACGTCTCCGATGTGGGGCGTGGTTGCTAGCCGCTATGGTATCAAGGTGGTGCTTTCTATAACTTTGGTATCCATGTTGATTGGATGCAGTCTGTTCGGTTTTTGCACTAACCTCATTGCAGCGATGATTGTTCGCTTCATATTCTTTGGGCTTCTCAATGGCTGGCTGGTGTTAACGGGCCCTTGTGCAGTCGCTGCTGTGGGCCGGGAACGTCAAACGGAGCTTCTTGGATTGATCTTCGCCGCCGGATGTGGCATGCAGCTGATCGGCCCTGCAATCGGAGGTTGGACGTACGGCCTCGTGGAAGAATTCCCAGCGTTGCTGCCCAGCCTCGTTGGATGTGCTTTGAGTATTCTTGCTCTGGTCCTTTTTTCAGGGGTGCACCAGGCATTCTCACAGGAGCAGCCGGTGGAGAAGGCAGAAGCGGCAGAAGGGGCAGAAGCACCGCTTGCCAAGTCCAAGTCTTTGCTTTTCCAATGGCCTTTGCCTCTGATCTTCCTCATGCGCTTTGCAGGAGGATGTGCGTCGTATACCATGTACGAAGCAGTGCCGCTGTGGCTCATCTCTGACACCGAGCTGGGTGGATTCGGACTGACTGAGAAGTCCGTGGGCTCTTTTCTGTGTAGATCTGGCCTTTGGAACATCATCTACTTCACTTGGATACTACCATGGTGTTCCAAGAGGTTTGGAAGTCGCTGCTTCTCTGTCGTCACAAGCACCATTGCGATAGTCACTGCTTGCATCTTGCCCTTCTCCGTAAACATTCCATCCGCCAATGTCTTGCACCTCATCTGGGCTTCGGCCCTGGTGTCTAACAACGTGCTGAATGCTGCTTTCACGAACAATGCAGTACCTGTGGAAGACCGTCTCCTGGCAAATGGTTTCGCAGTGACTGCCGAGACGATTGGGAAGGCTGTTGGACCAGTGGCGTCTTCATCAGTCTTCGCATGGACACTGAGAAAGTGGGGATGGCACGGACACAGCGTTGTGTTTTTTATCCTGGCAGGACTTTCCTTAATTCAAATTATTTGTGTCCGTTGTCTTCCAAGCTATGTGGAGCCTGTCTGCCAGCCGCCTTGCGATAAAGTGCAATCCGAAGCTGGTAGTGCCGTAAGCAATGAAGCTAAGACCCTGGATGCTTGATTTTTTGTGGGGGCCAGAAGCGTTCGTTTAGACCAAGTTTCACATGCTTGCATTGCCAAGCTCGTGGGTCATCTGGTGTCCCAAGTATGTCGCGCAAACGTGTAGCCCGGCAACATAAAGGATCATGCGACTTAGTAACTAGGGTTATAATTAGGTTACCTATACTTATAGCCCGAGTTAAGGTACTTATAACCTTGCTTACTAAGGGCTTTCATCAATCATGATGCCAAGATGCACAAGCATCTCGAATTCGCCTGCGGGCTCCTATTCCCCTGCTGTTCCCAAGCAGCAGCAGGATCGCTTTCCTAGGTGCTTGAAGCCATGCCCAAGCCGATGTGAAGGAAAAGAATAGCGGTCGTGGCCACCAATCTAGTCTTGTCATTGTTGCTGCTGTCATTGTTAGTCTTGCTGCTTGATTCTGTTGTCGTTGACTTCTTCTTGCTTTTTGCGGGCTCAGCACACTTCCCAGCAACTCGGGCAGGTTTGAAACGATGATTGCTGTAGCAGCTGATTCGGAACTTCGGCAGGAAGGTTTCATGAAAGCATGGAGAAACCGCGGTTGTCTTCTGTGTGTTTGGCTGGTTGTTCAGCATATCTTCATCATGTGCATGTTGGGAGTGATGACCTTCATCGCCACCATAGCGTTGGACCTGTTGTTAGCATCATCGTCTGTGTCAGCACCGTCAGCATCATCACATCACGTCGATTGTCCAAAATGGCGAGGACACGGAAGTTGACGAGCGCGATGTTGGTCCTGGTGGCGATGATCCTACGTAGGATCACGGCAGCGGTGATGATGTTGATGCTGACGATGATATTCGCCTCGTGAGCATTTGCTTGGTTGGGTTAGGCTGTTCTTGTGGATGGCTTGCTGCACTGCAACCTGATTCGGCGCAAAATCCCTCAACCGACAACTTTAAGGGGGTAATGCTGACGAACTCCCAACCCGTTATTTCAGGGGCTCTGGTAAACTTTCTGGTTAAGTTAAGACGAGATCGAACTTCTAAGATACCGAGGGGTTAAGGTGTGGTTTCGGCATTCACCGTTTTTTGCATAGTTATGCTGTAAGCAATTCTGGGGCTTCGAAAAACCAGAAAGCTGATTTGCAAAGCCCTCAAGGAGAACCTTCTCAAGCCCCGATGCCCTATGCTTCTACCAGAAAGCTTCTACAGCCTTTTCTCGAACCTTCCAGAAGCTCGGCTGCCCAACACCAGGCATTTCGGCTCTTCAGTTCCTCCGCTTAGTTTGTCCTGCATCGCAGCAACGGGACGGCGTTTCAAGTATTGAAGAAGTCCTGGGTTGTCTAGGAGCAAAAGGAACTCGCATACATAAAGCCTTAAGTCTGATGTCCCATCCAAACGACGGCTTTACTGTGCGGTCTCTGATGTTGTTGGAATGGAGAAGATGGAGATGAAGAAGATGCAGCAGGTCGGCAGAACAAGGGTTGAGCTGTCCCCAAGACGTTTTTCGAAGCCCAAAGCCATTCAACGAGGCTCTTTGCAACATGTCCTCTGATTTATCTGGTTCAGGCCGTAGGGTTCTCCTGTGAGGATGGCCTTTCGGGGGCCGCTTCAGCACGCTGAGGGAAGTGAGGAGTAGTTTGGAGTTGTGACATGCGGAGGGTTCTCAGAGCGTCGTCTGGCTCTGAGCGAAGGAAGCCCGAGGCGACGTCTGAGGCTCTCGAAAGAAGGTGCCCTCCTTGGAGGTTCATGAGTTATTATAAGTGGGGTTATATGTGGGATAACTATAGTTATAAACCATACTTGTATTAAGAAAACCATGCTTGTATTCGGGGAATAAGACACCCTACTTATAGCCAGCCATGAACCTCCAAGTAATCCCCTTCCTCTCGAAGCCCCTGGCCCTGGTCTTTCCAGCGCCTCTTGCAGTCTCGCGATCTCGTCGGATGCTCGCCTTCACATCTGGGAGTTTCCGAAAACAAGGTACCTTATTTAGGGGTCCTTGTAATAAGGAACCTACTATTTGGGGTACTATATTAGGGTCCCCTATTTTCGGAAACCCCCATCTCAGGCTGAGCACAGGACTCGAAGCTTACAAGTGGGATCGGCAGCTCTCACTGAAAGGTCTGGACTCTCGAAAACAGAAGGGCTGGAGGCTAGAGTGCCCTTCGAAATCACCCCCAAGGGCCGAAACACTAAACGGCTTAATTGCTGAATCGCTTGACTTTCGTGCGCCTGACGATGCGGTCTTCCATGGTCTCGCGGGACTGGGCTTCCTCCGACGGGTTCGCAGCGGTGTTTGGAGGGTTCCACAGAGCTGCGCTGATTGCAAGGACTTTTGCTGGGGAGGTCGCCGCTTCGGGAAGGAAGGGCATGACGAAAGATGTTATCCCAGACTTAGCGAGGAAGAGTTAAACCACGGAAACACGACAGAACATGGATCTCGAATCCTGCCTGTATCATGGTTAGAAGCAATCAAGACCCGAGCTTGTGCTTGAACATCCAGAGAACAAACAATGCTGCTTTATGAATGAGTGGATGGTCTGATAATATCTATATATGCATAATATAGTATAATATCATATTTTATTTTGTATATATATATATGTATATATGTATATATATATATATATATATATATATATATATATATATAATCCTTTGACCCTTGGAAGGCAGCCAACCATCCGGCGATACCAGGCGCCGGGCTTCTCGCAGGCTTTCGTACAACTTGGGTATGTCCACGTCGACCTTGTCTGAAACAGGAGCCTTAATAGCCTTGACAGCTAGAAGAGGGTTTGTACAGCAGATACCCTGCAGCTTGTTCGGGATCGCAGAGTAGTTCGGCGGTACTTGCAGGCTGAAGAGCGAGAGTACCAACGACGACTCCAGCTTATCGCCTTCAGCGCCTTTGTTTTGCACAGGCGAGGTCGAGTTTTTACCACCACAGCGCAGCAGACAGCTGCATTTTGGTTGTATGAGTTGGATGTTAGTGTTGCCCAGGCTTTGGTGACACATGCCTGTCCAGCTGTGTTGCGGCTTTTGTACCAGGTGGTTAAGTAAACGACAAAGATCATTGTTGATGCCAGTCGATCATTGCAGGCAGTGCTCAAAGTTATAAGACAAATGCACTATTCTATTGCATGCTGGCGGCCTAACACGGATCTGCCTTCCAAGGATCCTTGGTTCCATTGGCTGATGCAGCTGATGCTACTGGATGCGGGCAGCTTCCCCTTTCTGCGAGCCTTGCTCCATAGGAGGCACGCGGAGCATGGGAGTCTTGGGTGTCAACGAGGGTTAACAGACAGCATGTTGATGGCCATACACATGAGAATGTGGTTGTACACAACGAGTGGAATGAAACCGGCGCACCATCACCATCACGTACCAGCAGCATCAGCATCAGCATCATCATCGCCAGCACCAGCAAAGGTGCCAGCGCCAGCCCCAGCCACAGACCCAGCAGCAGCACTAGCACCAGCACCAGCGCCAGGACCAGCACCAGCCCCAGCCGCAGCGCCAGCGCCAGCCAAAGTACAACCATGGCCACCACGGCCACCACCGCCAGCACGGCCATCACCACATCATCATCTTCATTTTCATCTTCATCATCCTCATCATCGTCAGCAGGAGAGCAGCAGCAGCAACAGCCACAGCCACAGCCATGGCCACGGGCACGGGCACGGCCACAGCCGCAACCACAACGACGACAACCGACAACAGCATGCGGACCAGGTAGAACACACCCATTTGGCTGTACAGGTACATGCGCATACGTGTGCACCCGCACACAAGGTAGATGAACGTGTCGCAGACGGTAAATGCACCTCCAGACCAGTATCGGTGTGTAGGTCTGAAGTCTGAAGATGGTGCTGTAGAGACAGGGAGGTGCCGAATGTGCTGAGTATGTTTCAGCGTGGCTCAGCTCTCAAGCCATGGTGTGTCTTCAAGCCCAAAAAGCCATGTAAAGTGTGATGTGCTGTCAGGCTGGAGCTCCGTGCGTGGGCCCCTCCCGTTGAAGCCTTGGCACTTTGCCACGTGGCCGACAGCTGCGCGTTCCAGCTCGGGTTCGGGTTGTGAGCTCGGGAGCCGTCGGACTCTGCTTTAGGAGTCCCCTTCCTGTGCTTCGACTCGCAGTCGCGGCACGGAGAGGAGGGGTGTCGTTGAAAGCTCGCTCAAGAGCCATTGCGGGAAGGCCCGAAGAGCACAGGAGAGTCAGATCTTGAGGAAAGTTGTCTTATAAATGGTTGAGGGCCAGTCCAAAGCGTCGGCTTTCATCAGCCCTGTGTAGTTGAGGCCTTCTATCCGCCCAGCTTAGGAGGATTCTTTGGAAGCTCCGCCGTATGCTTGATTGGCGCCCCATCCATGTGAGAACGGCGATATCATGCAGACTCCGCATGCCCGGCAGTAATCGTCTTGTTCGAAGTTGAAAGGGAGTTCGGTGCTTTTGATGCGGATGAGGCGTGGGCTTGGGCGCAGGCAGTTTTCCAGCGCCGCCTGGCTCAGTGGCAGTGGGCTTCTGTGCAGACTTGCCATCTGCTTCCCGCGATGGGCGAATTCCACGGGGTCTCGGCCCACCGGACCACGACGATCGCTTCCGCAGTGAGAAAGTCCGACAGCGGCGAAGGGCTCTCAGAGTGATCCTGTGAGCCTTAGGGCCGCATCATGCCGCATCCTCTGAGCGGGCCCAAGCCCAAGCCGGCCCTGTGCTTCTCTTCTTGACCCTGCCAAGCCGCCCAAGCCAACTCTTCTCGAAGCCTTTCCGTTCCCCAGGGATGGCCAGGGCCACGAAGGGCCGCGTGCCTCGCACTCCATGAGAACCCTGCGGCCGAGTCCGAGTCCTCCTTAGGTTCTACGGCCTCTTGCTTCTCAGCTTCTCCCTATAGGCCTAGGCCTACAGGCCTAGGCCTATAAATCTCGCAGCCGTTGAAAGCAGTCCTGGTCCTCTTCGTGCTCTGTGCCTTGCCCTCGTGTCCCACGAGGACGTCGCACTGCTCGAAGCTTCGGCTCCCCTGAGTCGCTAAGAAGCGCTCTGTGAGA